TACACTGCAGTGGTAACAGTCTGCACTGCAGTGGCTAACAGTCTGCACCATAGAGGCTAACTGTCTACACTGCAGTGGTAACAGTCTGCACTGCAGTGGCTAACAGTCTGCACCGCAGTGGTTAACAGTCTGCACCGCAGTGGCTAACAGTCTGCACCGCAGTGGCTAACAGTCTACCACAGTGGCTAAGTCTGCACCGCAGTGGTAACAGTCTGCACCGCAGTGGTAACAGTCTGCACCGCAGTGGTAACAGTCTGCACCGCAGTGGTAACAGTCTGCACCGCAGTGGTAACAGTCTGCACCGCAGTGGTAACAGTCTGCACCGCAGTGGTAACAGTCTGCACCGCAGTGGTAACAGTCTGCACCGCAGTGGTAACAGTCTGCACCGCAGTGGTTAACAGTCTGCACCGCAGTGGCTAACAGTCTGCACTGCAGTGGCTAACAGTCTACCACAGTGGCTAAGTCTGCACCGCAGTGGTAACAGTCTGCACCGCAGTGGTAACAGTCTGCACCGCAGTGGTTAACAGTCTGCACCGCAGTGGCTAACAGTCTGCACCGCAGTGGCTAACAGTCTGCACCGCAGTGGCAACAGTCTGCACCGCAGTGGCTAGCAGTCTGCACCGCAGTGGTTAACAGTCTGCACCGCAGTGGCTAACAGTCTGCACCGCAGTGGCTAGCAGTCTGCACCGCAGTGGTTACCAGTCTGCACCGCAGTGGCTAGCAGTCTGCACCGCAGTGGTTACCAGTCTGCACCGCAGTGGCTAGCAGTCTGCACCGCAGTGGTTACCAGTCTGCACCGCAGTGGCTAGCAGTCTGCACCGCAGTGGTTACCAGTCTGCACCGCAGTGGCTAGCAGTCTGCACCGCAGTGGTTACCAGTCTGCACCGCAGTGGCTAGCAGTCTGCACCGCAGTGGTTACCAGTCTGCACCGCAGTGGCTAGCAGTCTGCACCGCAGTGGTTACCAGTCTGCACCGCAGTGGCTAGCAGTCTGCACCGCAGTGGTTACCAGTCTGCACCGCAGTGGCTAGCAGTCTGCACCGCAGTGGTTACCAGTCTGCACCGCAGTGGCTAGCAGTCTGCACCGCAGTGGTTACCAGTCTGCACCGCAGTGGCTAGCAGTCTGCACCGCAGTGGTTACCAGTCTGCACCGCAGTGGCTAGCAGTCTGCACCGCAGTGGTTACCAGTCTGCACCGCAGTGGCTAGCAGTCTGCACCGCAGTGGTTACCAGTCTGCACCGCAGTGGCTAGCAGTCTGCACCGCAGTGGTTACCAGTCTGCACCGCAGTGGCTAGCAGTCTGCACCGCAGTGGTTACCAGTCTGCACCGCAGTGGCTAGCAGTCTGCACCGCAGTGGTTACCAGTCTGCACCGCAGTGGCTAGCAGTCTGCACCGCAGTGGTTACCAGTCTGCACCGCAGTGGCTAGCAGTCTGCACCGCAGTGGTTACCAGTCTGCACCGCAGTGGCTAAGTCTGCACTGCTATGGCTAACAGTCTGCACCGCAGTGGCTAACAGTCTGCACCACAGTGGTAACAGTCTGCACTGCAGTGGCTAACAGTCTGCACTGCAGTGGCTAACAGTCTGCACCACAGTGGTTAACAGTCTGCATCACAGTGGCTAACAGTCTGCACCGCAGTGGTTAACAGTCTGCACCACAAGGAC